TTTCTTCGGCATCTCCATTCTGTGACAATAGCAGCTGGTGCCCATTTTCCTACTAAGTGATTCACATTTTGCCACTTTACTGGAGTGCAATTAGCTGAAGCAGAAAAAAATGCTCACTATACAGCAGCTAGGTTGAATTGTTACTCAGCTCTTTAACAGGACTGGGTGAAAGTCTTGAGGTGTTGTCATGGGCGTAGGTGCAAGAAGAAACATTTTCATTTCTTTCTACACAAATGTTTTTTTCTCTCTTACATTCAGAGAATCAGAGTGTGGGAAATCGCTGGAACATGTTTCGCTGTTTTCTGTATACGGATTTTAGTGTGCACCTGTGAAATGATACTGAAACTAAGCACAGTATTTGAGAGGAAATGTGGTCTTTTACAGTCAAAACAAGGAGCTGGCTTCCATTCCTGACTGCTACAGACTTCACCTAGACCAAGAATTTCTTCCATGCATTTTTCATGCAGTTTTCACCACTGAAGTATGAGGATAACAAGTTAAAACCTTTCTGGTTGACATCCATGTGAGTTAGAGGAATGCATTGGAGGAAAATCAGATGGATTGCACTGTTAGCGTAAAAAGTACTTAGGTGTGCATAATAACAGCCACCTTGCTCATGCTCCCACGTAGCAGCTGTCATTAAAAAATGTCAACTGATAACAACCTATTCTGACATTTATGGAAATAGGGTGATTCTCTTTTCAAGAAAAGAAAAGCTTCATGTGCAGATAGAAGTGGACTTTTTTGTTGGTTTGTAATAAAAGTGTTCACTGTAATTATTGTGAATAATTATTGCTCTCATTGAAACCACCATCGCAGCTCTGAAGTAGCAAATGATGCTACATGCAGAGCTTTTAGTACTTGAAAAGTGAGCATGAGATGTGTTTGCAGATTGTGAAATATTGGTATGTTCTTTTGACATCCTTTAGGTGTCGATAGTAAGTGCGAAGAGGGAAAACTAACTTTCTGAACTGACTGCATGTATGATTAGAATATAAAAAGCTCCCAGTGGCTCGAATGGGAAGACTGTTTTTTTAAGGCTATATACTATAATCAGATGCAGTTAATTTTTGCAGTCTGCTTGCATATTGATACTGATTTAGCCAGTGTCAGCACTGTCAATATCATTAGTAATGTGGCAGGTAGATGGAAATATGAATGTGATTGCATTAATAAATTCTTAATATATTCAACCTTTCATAAGCACATGGCATTACAATTTACCCGCTATTGTTTAAGACCATTTTAAAGCAGGAGTTGGATTTTGAAGTGCTCTGTCATTCTGTCTTTCTGCCAGCAGTGACTGGCTTCAGGTCTTACTTAAACAAAGAAGCTGTGAAGTAAATTCAGTAGAGATGTGAAGACTAATGCTGTATATTGCATATTATTGAGGCTTGCAGCACTGTATGTAGTTTCTCTTGTATATGGGCATGGAAATGCTTCTGGAGATGATTAGTTACTTTCCCTATAGTTTCTGAAAGGAAAGCTTACCTGAGAGCTACCCCTTTCTAGAAAACTTTCCTGAGAACAGTCCACCACAAATGGAGTTGCAGTTTATTTGACTATATTAAAATCTAGTATAGAAAAAAAAACAGTCCCACCAAGGCTTTAAAATAAATACTGTACGTTTTTATATGACATGTGTTATTTCTATTCATAAACCTTAACTAAATTTAGATTTTTATTAATCCAATGTGACCTAAAAATTTTGCATTAACAGCACAATGTGGAATTGGGCTTATTCTCTTTGAATGCAGATAAAGCCATCATCTTGAAAATAGCTCTTTCTGACAAAAAGGTGTTCTTTTGAAATAAAGTATTATTCACTACATTCCTCTTAGACTTAATGTGAATTTTAGTGCCTCTAATTTTAGATTGAAGTGAGGTCTAGAATAAAACCCACCAGCTGACAATTGAATTTATAGATAGTTGTGAATATTTCAGGCTTGAATAATAGAGCTGTAGAATTTCAGACACAGAGGAAGAGAGAATTAAACTCCAACTGTAGTTTTAGACTATAACACAATGGTGTCTAGGAATTCTTCAGTATAACGAGCTAAGCAGTAATTAGGAGGGAACTGAGGGAGGGATTTTACAGAGATCTAGCGTAGGCATTATTCCAAATGTTCAGCAGAATAATTTGATGGGAGTCCCACCTGCCATCCATATAAGATGACTCTTGGACTAATTTTGTTCACATGTGGTACAGCAAAGAAGGAGTGAAAGCAGTGTCTCTTGTCCACCCACAGCTAGTACCCAGCCTTGTCTCTGGTTTGCCTTCTTCAGGGGATTGAGAAAGTTTTTGTTATCAGAGTCAGGTGTTCTTGTTTTTGCTTTTCCTTGGAATGGTTAATGTTTTAACTGCATTTGTGCTTTGCCAGCGTGCACCATTCCAGTCTGTACTGTTTAAGCTATAGCCAAAACCAGCTTTATCTCGGTTAGTACCAGAAACTGCTACTTCAGAAGCATCATCAGACTGGCTTTTGCCTAAGCAACACTAGTGATCAGATTTTAATGCATGTAGAACTGAGATTATAATTTGGTTCTGACCGCTTGGAGTGGGAGATACCCACTTTTGCACTGGCTAAGTCAACATGCATGCAGTCGGACAGCTAATTAATTGCAAATGGTTTTTCTGAGAAGGGTGACATTCGAGCTCATTATTGCACAAATTAGAAAAAAAAATCAGCAGTGGGAGTCTTAGACAAGAGCGTGTCATCAAGCTGGTTATGACACTGTAGGCAGTGACTCCTATTGCTGAATTTTGAGACTTGATATGTTGAATCTCAGCAGCAAGAATGTGAAAAGATGACCAAATACCTGTTTAGTCAATAAAGGAACCTTACTATATAGAAAAATAATGAAAAAAAATAGGTTGATAGAATGTGGAAGTTAATTGGTATTTTTAATTGTAGCTGTATAAAATTCAGTGTCAAAGAAAGGGAGAGAGAGACAGAGAGACACCATGTTTTAGTACCCTAATAACTTCCAGCTCTAGTCTAAGATCATAATGTATGTGAGAGCGGTCCAGTAATTATAAGGTAATAAGTGGAGTGGTGGTGTAAGTGCTCTAAATTAAAAGGAATTCACAGAGCTGCTGTAAGTCAGTGCCGACCCGCTTTCTTTCAGTCGTTGACTTGAGAAAAGTGCTTAGCCCAGAGTGCAAGTAGAGAGAAAGAGAGAGCTATCTATTAATTACAGCACTCATTAACAGTGACGGCTACAAGGCAGCAGATGCAGAAGAAAAGACACGCGCTACTGCAGGCTGGCAAGGGGATTTCACCCCCTCCAGTTCTTTAGGAAGGGACAACACTAGCAGGTGGTCCAATGTAATAAGATATTTTCATGGCTTTAACCTTCCCATTTCCTTGGTTTATTTGCTGACACCAGATAGCTTGCTTTTACCTCCTCCCCAAAGAAGTACTGATTTGAAGTTTGGAGGGTAACGTTTCTATACATCAATCTGGTTGTTTTCCAAATTTATGTGTAATTTGTTTTCAGTATAATTTTACAGTAAAAATCACAGCAATTGAAAGGACCTAAATAAGATATTTGGACACTGATGTTAGGGTAAATCTCATCCTAAGCAGGTAGTTTTAATGAAGGTCAGGCTTTGATCTCAGTTACCCTCATTGGAAAGGAAGCTAACTCTCTGGATTTATGTCTGTTTTCTATTGCTAATTTAATTCCAGATCTTGAAGTAGAAATTGATTTATTATTTTCAATATGAAAAGGCAAGAAAGTGAAGACAGGATCTCCAAACTTATTATTAGAATGTTAAGTCAGTCAAATTGTCTGGACTCATTTCTTTGCTTTGAAAACATGAATCTATAGCTCCAAGTAGTTGCATTTATGCTGAAAATGTTTCTAGAGAAATGTTCATAACTGTCATCTATACTTTGGCAGCTTCAGAGAGTACCATCAGGAAAATGCTGGGTAGGCCGTTTATTACTGTGGTCTCATAATTGCAGCTGTAGAAAATGAAGATAGGATCTGATTCAGAGCTTTCTAATTATTATTTTTGTTCCTTGTTCTCCTTAAAGTATGTTTAAAAAAAGGAAAAAAACTTGAGGATGGAGTAGACTAGATGTAGAAAGAGCTTATTTGTCAGATCAAATGTTATGTGGCTTTATTTCAGATACTTAATTCTGAAAATACGAGAACTGAGAAGACAGAATCTCATGCTCTGAAACACAAAACTTCCATGTAAAATTTCCTCTAATGTATTTTTTTTTTAATCCAAGAATAGAACACATAAAATGTCAAATACTATAGAGCTGCAGATATATGGGATAGTGGCATAGTTATTACTGGTTAGTCTGAGGATAATGGCTAGAAAGTAATTGCAGACAGAGCTGATGAATCATTTCACTTAAATTTTGTGAAAATGGAGTCCAGCCTTAATTATTTGTTAGAGTTCCCACTTGATGTTTTACTCGGTTACTAAATAGCTGTATCTATAATAAAGCAACATTAATTAAAAAAAAAAAAAAAGACTCTAGGAGACTTGCTTTTCAATCCTGGGATCAGATCAATAGATGATGGATATGTGTTTTGACAAATATTATTTACAGTGTAGAATATTTATGCAGTCAGACATGGAAATACATGTTCCTGGTAATGGTGGAATTTATGCAGAGAAGTTGCCAATGGAAAAAGGAAGACCTTTAATAACTAAGCCATCTAATAGGATATTTTTAATTTTTTGATTCACTAGATGACAAGTTTAGAATTTAGAGTTGATGTGAAGTTGACACATAGCCTAGGGGGCAGGTGGAGGGAGCAAAAGACGGATTTGGTCTCTTTGAAGTTTTTGTTTACTGCCTGTCTGGAGCTTTGACAAAGCTCTGTCATGCCCTTATGCTGATTACCTTTATGTAGAACAAGAGGTATTGACTAATGAATGAATGATGTGCAGTCCCTAACCCTTCCAGAGCAGCCTTAAAGAGCTCTGTCTTTAATACACAGATTCTTCTTTCTCTCTCTCCCCACTACAGGCTTCTCTGCAGAATGTCAAGCAAAGATCGACACATTGATTCTAGCTGTTCGTCCTACATCAAGACGGAACCGTCGAGCCCTGCCTCTCTGACGGACAGCATCAACCACCACAGCCCCGGTGGCTCCTCAGACGCCAGCGGGAGCTACAGTTCCACCATGAATGGACATCAGAATGGGCTGGACTCACCTCCCCTCTACCCTTCAGCCACAGGGCTTGGAGGCAACGGACCAGTCAGGAAACGATATGATGACTGCTCTAGCACCATTGCTGAAGATTCACAGACCAAGTGTGAATATATGCTGAACTCGATGCCCAAAAGACTGTGTTTGGTGTGTGGTGACATTGCGTCAGGGTACCACTATGGTGTGGCTTCCTGCGAGGCCTGCAAGGCTTTCTTCAAGAGGACAATTCAAGGTTGGTTATTCTTTAAACTCCTTTTCTTTCTTATGCACAAAGTTAACTAATACAATCCTTGACTAAATCCTGTTAGGATTTCAGAATGTACCTTTTCATTCTTCATCGTGTTTGACCTACAGATGTTACTCATTAGAAAGCTACTTTGGGCTTCTCTGGGAGTTCTGTCCATTGTGTTAAGCCCACTACCATATTTATTTTGATTATGAAAAACAGAAAAAACACTGCAGCCATCCAGTGCTCATTCAGATTTGTATTCTGTATTAGTTTCTCATGGATTCCCATAAACGTTTGTTGCAAAGAAAACCTGTTATTTTCTGAAGGTTGTCAGGGATGCCTCTTGAACACACTTTGTGGCTTACATACAGGGATCATGTTTGGGTTTTGCTCCTAGTTATACCACTACCCTACTTGTTACAGAGATCCATTTATTTTTGTTGAAGCACAGTGCATTTAAAATTGGAACAAAATGCCTTAAACAGGTTCAACAAATACCTGTAAGGTCACATTCTAAGGAGAGTAAGTTGGCAGCTTTTGGTCTCTGCCCGGTATTTTGTACTAATTTGCTCTTGAGAACCTGTTATAAATACACCACATCTTTTGGCATAAATTAGTAGGAATGAGATAATTCACATGACCCCTTGATCTAGCTTCAGAATCAATGGAGACAAAATAACCTACTTTCATTTAGATTTGAAGGTGCTTTATTTAAAGAACATGAGGCCAAGCTTGGCCTGTACAGGAATACAGTGTCATATCAAATTAAATTCAAACTTCAGAAACTAAAATTAGGTTGCTATTTACAAATTTAAGCTCCTCCATAAAACCTGCTTTATTTTCATAGATGTTGAGGACCTGGAATTTTCAGGAAAGACAATGCAATCTGGTGGTTTACTTTTCCTTTTGAAAAGGATTTATGATAAGGAGCATAAAGTTAGTGTCAGTTTGTAATTTCACATAACCCAGGATTTGAAATATTTGGTCAAATTTTCTTAAAAATAGTACTTCTGTATTTAAGATAAATTCATAAGGAAAAATAATGTTTGTTATTTTAATTTATTGTCAAGGCAATGGCCATTTTATTCTTCTCTCATCCATTTTACTGCTGGGGGATTTGGGCCTTCTGCTAGGATGAAATACCCATTTTATGATGGCCATATAGACACTAGATAGAAAAATATTAGGCTTTAATTGTTCTGATAGAGCTGAGTGTTACAATGTTTGCAACCAGTAAACAAACATACCTGTTAAGTTTCCTGGTGGCTTAGGTTTATATGTAAAATGAGTGCATATGCAGAAACATTATGCTCATTTCAAGTCTTTGGAAAAAGTGAAAAAGAGGTAGGTGATTTCATTTGACCTTCAAGGACATTTTCAGAAAAACTAAAAAAATGTTTCCACTGAAGTAATTTGTATCTTGTTGTTGCTGAACTTCAAGCACCAACTTCAATTAGCACCTCTGTTTTTGTAAATGACATTTAATGACTGTGTAACAGTTGTCCTACAGAACTGAATTGATGGAAAATTATTTTAGTTGGTTTTGAGCATGAAAAAAATGCAGCAGAAATGTTAACTGATCAAAGTGTTGACTTCTGGCAGTAATTGGTGGCCTGCAATTTTACACTGCACCACAGACAGCAAGTTTCTGGGCATGGAAGCACAAGACAGAGACGTCATTCTCCAGATTAGCAACTTGGACTTGCCCATGCAGCTCAAGTTAGAACTGGCAGCTGTGCAAAAAGTCTCAGTATGGTTAGAACACTAGCTGCATCAGCAGGTGACAGTGCTGTGAAGACAAAAAAAAAAAAAATATGCAGTAAGGCAAAACCAGGCATAGAATGGAAAAGCAATAATGAAGAAACTAAGAATAGGAAGTATGTTACCATCATAATGTCATGACAGCATCTTCAGTGCTGACTAAACTGACACAACTACTAAGAGTTTTCAGATAGCATCTAGAATAATGGAAGTTACTTACTTTGGTGAATCAAACCATGGATTGTGGTAGGTGATAAGTAGTATATAAGAAGAAGGTACCCCTTGTGTTTTGAATTGGCAAATTCTACCCTTAACCTTTCTTGAAGAATAATTCACCTGTGGGTTTTTTTGCTCTAAATGATAATATTTAGTTTCAGTGCTCCTAGAGGTTGTTTTTGCCTGTACCATTTCACTTTTTGGTTCACATCACATTCTTTCCCTGCTTCTTAAAATAAGTTGATTACTGTATGACTGCAAATAAGAAAACAGAAGAAACCCAAACAATTTGTAAATACAGGATAGTAAACCAGACTGCCCAAAGAGTCAAATGTTGTAACTGTGTGTATATAAGGGTAACAAGTCTTTGGTCAAAGAATTGCTTACTTTAAATCTAATTGTGATGGGACTAGATTCAGTGAAAAAGAATGTTTGACTTTACAAACCTTTGTTGTTTATCATTCATGAGTTACTAGGTGAGCTTAGACTTGTAGAGCTGAAGTGCTACTCTTGTTGGAGTCATGAGCAAAACGGCCTTGACTTCAGGGCAAGGCAGGGTGATAAAGTTAGATTATGAAGCATATCTTGTGTTCATGTCATGCCTGATGTCCTTTCCACTAAGTCAATGGGAGTCTTTCCATTCTTTCAATTTCAAAAGAGTCTTTTGAATCTCAGTAGGTGAAAGCCATGGGTAACTTGTGTAGAGAGCTAGCACAGTATCTTATATAAGACAGAAGTGCATCACAGAGTATCTAGTAGCCCCTTACAGGAGGCAAATTTAGGGAATACACCTATTTTAAGGGTAACGGGGATTATCATTCCCTTTCAGATGACAGCAGTTTATTTGAAACAATGTCTCTTCCTGGCTGACAGATTTCTCTTCCTCTTCTTCCTGTCTCATGCAATCCCTGCTAATTTTCTTGGAAGTAAAGAAAACCAAACTAACCCTGTCTTAGAAAGAGTACTCGATCTGTCTTTTTTTAATATATATATTTAACATAGCACAGAAATATGTTTGGGGCTATGGCAATGAATGCATAGGTTAGGATGAAGATTAGAAACAAGAAATTTATTGTAAAAAAAACCAACAACACAAAAAAACCAGCTCAATATATAAAATTGGAGTCTGCTTAGGTCACAGTAGAACCTAATGATGTTTTGCCCCCCTTTGTGACAGATAAGGGATGGGAGAACTGGATGTTCTCTCTGCTCAGCCTAGTACTCACTCAGCTGCAGCTCTCAGTTTGCTTCAGGGATAATTTAAATGGTGGGTGATTGCAAATGTCTCACAAAAACACACACACAGCCAAATCTCCCCCAAACTGGCTTAACATCAGGGGTAGTAGAAAATAGCAACATCTAAAAATAGTTACAGGTCCATTGATTTTCACAGTCTCTCCACAGTTTTTGCTGTTCACAGTAGTATCTTGAAAACTCCAAACTTTCATTAAAAGAAAGAGAGAGAAAAAAAAATTTTGGTTGTCAGCTGGTTGCAAAGTCTTTTGTTCAGCACAGAAGACTTGTACTTACTGCATATTTTGTAGTGAATATTTAGTGTAAATACATTTATCATAATTTTTATTTGCTCAGTTATCATAAAGACTAGTAAGTACACATTTTGCATTAATAATATGTAATTACTCAGTGCCTGTAACTTAAACATTTCTGGTAGTGAATTGAAATAGTATTCTTGCTTTCAGTGAAAGGATGATAGGACTTACGGAATCAAAGACAGTTTATTTTGTTTTATTTTAGCCTTCATCTCTCCAAAATAATGGCCTGCATCTAGACAACTTTCTCTTTCCCTCCTTCCAAATCTTCAGGACTGTCATATTTGGATTCATGAAACTAGCATGAAAAGGCAGTGTGAAAAACCTAAGTACTCATATGTTGCCTTCCTGGTAAGACTTGTTCCAAGTGTGTTAGAGCTTGCTTACTTTCTACTTCCTTGGACAGTGTTTGGATTTTCTCCACAAAAACGAAAGTATTTTGCATTCAGTAGTCCTTGCAGCTCTTGGGCTTTGTTGTTTTGGGGTTTTTTCTTTGGTTTTGTTTTGTTTATACATTTATTTTTTAAGGAAAAATAGTTGGATGAACAGTATGGAGACAGCAATCTTCTGGTTATAGTTAGGGTGGGAAACACAATAGGAGGAAAGAAGCCCTGCATTCATACCCTCGCTATAGTTGTGGTGCTTAAAGATATAGTTTAGTGGTGGATTTGTCAGTGTGCTGAGTTAACAGTTGGACTTGATCATCTTCAAGATCTTTTGCAACCAAAATGATTTTATGCTTTAAGAGCTGTATTCCTAAGAGTTGTTGCCTAATACAAACAAGAAATATTACATCCTGGCAATACTTCTAGCCTTTTTGGTCACTGTGTGAACTAGACCAAGTCTGCCATCTCATTTTATGCTGATCACTTAGGAGCCTTCAGCTGTACAGTTACACAGTAATGTAGTTCCTACAGTCTTCAAAGCCTGCACAAACTAGGATCTAGAATTTAACTGCTTTGTACTTTTTTCACCTTTTTGGTTACTCAAAGTTGTTTTTAATCCCTTTAGTGTTCAGGTTTTTCAACCCTCTTAGGTTGTCTACCTATTACTGAGCCAATTTGATCTGTAAATGTAGAAACACTTTACAGTAATTTTATTTTTATTTTTTTTAAAAAATCAGGCAGTTTTATCAGGAAAGTTAGAACTAGCTATGTAAATTCAGATAAAGTGACGTTTAAAATGGGCAGTATAAACTTCAATTAGAAGTTGCACATAACGGAAGTGGCTTCCAAAGGTTAATTTGCATCTCTGAATGCTGACTCCTGTAATAGTACATGTCGTTTATGTGGAGGAAGTGAAAGCAAATTAATTAAGATTTTATGGCTCTTCAGCATCTTTACTGGTAGCTAAGATTTTCTTATAGAAAGTTAAGGTGTGGAGGCTTGCATCTTGGTGCAATAGTATATGGACCTTGGCTCTGGTGCAAAGATGGCAGCCCTCCAGTGAACCTAACACTAAATGTCACCTAAATCC